AGAATAATAGTAATAAAAATAATAATAATAAAACCTAAACATTGTGCAACTTAACTCAAGTTTCAGCCTAACTACAGCTCAGGCATGACATAAGCCTTTACTGTCTTCTTAGAAGGCTTTGTGGCTTTTGTAAGAGGCAAACATTAGTGGGCAGGAAGCTAACGTGGAAAAAAAACAAGAGTTCATACACATAACATTTATTAACACATTTTTCAGCAACATGAATTTAAAGTTATTTGGAGAATAAACCCTCTTAAATGTCTCTCTGCATACTGGTGTGTGTGTGTGTGTGTGTGTTAGGGCTACACGATTAATCGAATGCGATTGTCATGCGCATTTTGTTAGTAAAGCCGGTTCTGTAATCAGCAGGAAATCATCATCACGTGCTTACAGATGGAGCAGAATTTATTGCACATAGCCGTAGTTCACTGAGAAGTTACGCAAAAAAATCGCAGACAATTCTATTGCACAATTATGAAATTGTTCGCGATAATGACAGCTGTTTGCATAGCTTCTCAGTGAACTACGGCTCTGTGAAGTAAATGCTGCTCCATCTGAAAGCATGTGAAAATACCACATTTAATAACATGTTTTTACTCCAAACTCACTTCATGACGTCAGTCGAACGATTAATCGAATGCGATTGTCATGCGCATTTTGTTAGTAAAGCCGGTTCTGTAATCAGCAGGAAATCATCATCACGTGCTTACAGATGGAGCCGAATTTATTGCACATAGCCGTAGTTCACTGAGAAGTTACGCAAAAAAATTGCAGACAATTCTATTGCACAATTATGAAATCGTTCGCGATAATGACAGCTGTTTGCATAGCTTCTCAGTGAACTACGGCTCTGTGAAGTAAATGCTGCTCCATCTGAAAGCATGTGAAAATACCACATTTAATAACATGTTTTTACTCCAAACTCACTTCATGACGTCAGTCGAGTGTTTGAAATAAATCCTTCTGTGAGATGATGTGGCTTCTTACACAGAATAAGGCACACAACATATTTCATAGTATTTAAGCAGTGATAAAGGCATTGCATTATAAATATACTTTATTTTAATGAAAATTATAATAAGAACTCGGATAAACCGCATATTGCCGTAGTCGTGTGTTTATTAGTCACATTGAATCAATGAAAGCAGTTGAATCTTCTGTTTATTCAGATGCAGCGATAGGCATTTCCAGGGTTTCTTCTGCGAGGCGTATTTGGAGTTTTGGAGAGCGCCCTCTGGCCTTTGGATGGAGATTTACTGATGATCACAGAGCCGTGCTTCACTGAAAGACACGCATGACAATCGCAGCTTCTGTCGAATCGCGATCTTGATTCCATTTCGATTTATCGTGCTGTGTATGTAGTTACAGTAAATGGTAGGGATGCACCGAAAATTCTGGGCCGAAAATTTAGAATTTTGGATGTGCTTGGTCGAAAACCAAAACTGAAAATGCATTGTAATAATAATTTATTTGATTAAATATTATAAAGTAATTTTGTAAGACTTTTTAATTTAACTCCATTTTAATGACACGGAATTTAAAAAACACAAGCCAATAAAATAACCACACTTTTATTGAAAGAAAATTAGACAGCAAATATATTAATATTAAATATCAATGTGTTATTTTTATTCAGTTCTATGCAACAGAATCAGACATAACTGTTGTTGTTGTTGTTTTTTTAAGTTATATTTATGGTCTTTTTATGCCTTTATTGTGAGAGGACAGTAGAGAGCTGACAGGAAAGCACTGGTAGGAGAGAAGGGAGCAGGATCGGCAAAGGACCTCGAGGCGGGATTCAAACTCGGGTCGCCATGAGCGCAGTTGTGCTATATGTCGACGCACTAACCACAAGGCTATGGGCGCCAACGTTGTTGTTGTATTTGACTAATTATCCAAATAATGTATAATACTGAAAACAGGGTTTTTCCTTTCTCAAAATGCGGCAGAGGTGGTACCATCCTGATCATGTGCACACAATGTACCCACCCTTCAAGTGACTGAAACATTTTTTTACACGCAACATATTTTAGGTGTTATAATAATTATAGCTATGATTAAAGAAAATGACAATTATAAAGTTATGTTTTTATTTTCTCTTGCCTAATGTTTTATTGTTATTTATTCTTAAAATAGCCTTATGAAATGTTTTCTTTTTCCTCAGAAATTCTGTGTTGTGTATCTAGTTATCAACTGAAGGCATAAAATATCATTTATCTTTAAATTATTGAAAATTAAACTTTTTGGCAAACAAAGGGGATTTACTATTAAAATTAAATCATGGAAGAAATTGTGTGATCATTCCTTTTCATTCAAAGTTTTCATAATTTTAGTAGTAGTAGTATTTACATTCTGCTGAACAATAGTAATATATTTCTGCAGCAATGTCTTCATATTAAACCGGACTTTTATTTTGATGGGTTGCCGTGAATACCTTTACATTTCTGTGTGTATATGATATGACGCTAGTTTTACTCAAGTGAAACGGTCATGAAGTGACTCTCAGAGCAGTTCTGGAGATGTTGTTCGTGTGTTTATGTCCTCATGTCACCGTGAGCGTCACGCACGCGTCAGTGTGTGTGTGGTAAAGGAAAATGCACGTCTCCGCCATTCATTCATTCATTCATAGAGATATGAATGCGTTATATGAGTTAAATAAAATGAAAAATTAGCTTGTGTTTTACTTACCCTCGAAACATCCTAGGTGTATATGACTTTCTTCTTTCAGACGAATCCAGTCGGAGTTATATTAAAAATATAATTATTTTTAATTATGTCTTTGATCTTTCAAGCTGTTTAATGGCACTCAGCGGGTGTTGCAGTTGAACAGTCCACAAGTCGTCAGATAAAGCTTGCGCATTCATAATAAAACGTGCCGCAGACGGCTCCAGGGGATGAATAAAGGCCCTTTGTAGCGAATCCATGAGTTTTTGTAAGAAAAATATCCATATTTCAAATGTAATAAACACTTTTCTCTCACTTCCGCTGACTGACATCCACTGAAGCAGTTCCGGCGGATGACGTAAGACGCGTGGTGCGGCCGTTGCGTGATTAGTGACGAATGCGGAGAGTAGGGCTGGACAATAATTCAATATCAATATGTATCGCGATATAATTGTTTTCAATAACGGTGATATGATTTTTAAACACATTTCCGATATTTCGATATACATTACCAGTGTCCCATACATTGATTTATTTGTGCCGTTTGACTTCGTTGAATAAACATGAGCACTGCACGTTTCAAAATCATAACACGGCGCGGGTGTTTTATATGAATGTATCTCTGAAGGGAATTGACTGTCTTCAGAAACGTTTTGATGGCATATTCATTTGATCTGGTAAAGAAGCGTTCATGAGCGGAGCTGCTTTGTTTACAGCCATTACTGGAGAAACCGCTAGTTTTATCACTCCAAAAGCGCCTCCTGCTGACAGAGAATGAATTTGCATTTTAAATAAGCCCGTCTCCAGCAACATTTCCAGTTTTTGTTGTTGTTCAATTTTTTTGTTTTTTGCAGCGACTCGGAGCACTTTTCATAGCCTTTTTTCTGGCTGAAGCACATTTGTTTCAATCTATAAGAATAATCAGCCTACACTACCAGTCAAAAGTTTTTGAATAGTAAGATTTTTAAGGTATTTATTTATTATTATTATTATTTTTTTAAAGAATTCTCTTCTGCTCACTAAAGCTGCATTTATTTGATCCAAAGTACAGCAAAAACAGTAAAATGTTGAAATATTTTTACTATTTAAAATTGCTTTCTATTTGAATAGATTTTAAAATGTAAATTATTCCTGTGATCATACATGGGTAAATTTTCAACATCATTACTCCAGTCTTCAGTGTCACATGATCCTTCAGAAATCATTCTAATATGCTGATTTGCTGATTATCAATATTTAAAACAGTTGAGTACATTTTTCTTTTAGGATTCTTTGATGAATAGAAAGATCCAAAGATCAGCATTTATCTGAAATAAAAAGCTTTTGTAACATTATACACTATTCCATTCAGTAAAATTTTTATTATTTTTTTGGGAAAGAAATTATAGCAATTAATACTTTTATTTAGCAAGGATGCTTAAAATTGATCAAAAGTGATGATAAAGGCATTTATAATGTTACAAAAGATTTCTATTTCAGATAAATAGTGTTCATATCGATATCGGAATTATATCGTATCGACCGAAATTAAGAAACATATCGTGATATCAATTTTGGCCATATCGTCCAGCCCTAATTGAATTACAACAGTTTTTACACAAAATGTTTTCGAATTTTACTTATATGAAATATATTTACTAATATATTTCTGTTTATTTATTTAGATAAAATATAGTTTATCAGAATGATTTCTGAAGGATCATGTGACACTGAAGACTGAAGTAATAGCTTCTGAAAACTTTGCCATGACAGAAAAAAATTATTATAATATATATATATATATATATATATATATATAATTTTTTATATATATATAATTCATTTTTGCTACGAATATAGCCTAGATGCTGACATAGCAATAAAAATAACAAAAAATCATTAATTAACTTAAAAATGCATGGTCATTCAGGATTTGTGTCTGTACTTCGATACGTCTGTACGTATCCCATGATTCCTCTGTTCCTCATATGTTGCATGTTTATTCATTGGTAGTAGAGGACTTACTTTAAAAATGCATGGAAAAGTTTAGAATTTCTAACACATATTAAACTGTAAGATTTTGTATAGTTCTTGTTTAAATGTAAACATTTATTATATATTGTTTTTTTTGTTGTTTTTTTTTGTCATGATTATTAAAGCTTTTAATGCTGATGTGGCATTTAAAAATACATAAAAATGCATTGTCATTAAAATGTAACATTTAGTGAGAGATGTACATAAATGAAATCTGTCTTTGGTCTGGCTCTGTGAATTTTAATAACCTGGTATATAAGGAAGGTGCATGTTGATTTATTGATTTTAACTGGTTTTCTACTTCTCTTTTCATTGTCTTTCAGGCATTCAGAGAAAGACGGACTATACCGCTCAAACCTGTTAATGCTGGTTTTGTCTGAGTCTGCTTACAGCAGTGTTAGAACATGAAGAATGTTCACTATAATACCCAAGACTGACTTCAACAAAACCATGAGGAGCACAAGGGGACATTCACTTGTTTGGTTCCACTAGCAGGAGTTGTGTATGTCAGTGTTGAGGAGCAATTGTGGGTGGATGTGGGAGTGCGTGCGTGTGCGTCTGTATGTGTGCGTATGCTAGCATAACCTGCCTGCTTCAGGCAGTGACATGCTACTCTGAGGGCAAACGTACAGTAAAGGAGACCCATCCACCGAAGGATTAATGCAGGGACGACACTTTTGGTGATACCTACCACGTCTGCAGAAGACATCAGTTTCTGCTCTTCAAAAATAACCAGTATATAGATACTTTTAAACCCCTTCACCCGTTTGTCTTTTCGCCAACATCCCCACACGTTTCCTGGGGGTTGTTTTGAAACTTCTCTGTTTTGCATGGCAGGGGAGTAACCGTGGAGAGGCCAGGGTATCACAAGCTTATGGATTTTGGGAAAAGAGGTGGGAAGGGAGAGACAGAGGAAGGGAAAAGGATGTCAAAAACAGCTAGTAGTAGGACTGGACATGGGGGCCGGGGAACGGGGATCAACTCTGGGGTCCTTATGGTTGGTCCCAACTTCAGAGTTGGGAAGAAGATCGGCTGTGGAAACTTCGGTGAACTGCGGCTAGGCAAGAACCTCTACACAAATGAATATGTGGCCATCAAACTGGTGAGTGCTCTTGTGCAAAGACGAATACTGAAAATGTCACATCCTCCCATGTTTACAACAAGATTATAGTTTGTATTCGTTTTATAGATTTTATATAAAGCAAGAATTAATTTAAAAGTTACTTTTTTGGCTTTCGATGCAGCTTTGGAATACATTTTAGTGATAACTATTTAAATATTACACTAGGCAAGATTATTTACTAGACTTTCTTTCCGAGTTTAGCCTCTAGATATTAATTTTTACAGTTCATATAACTGTTATTACAATGGGTTGACCCTATATTAAAATTGTATGCAGTATTGATGTCCACAGCAACAAGTTACTTCAATGTAGCTAGTATAACTTCAGACACAGATTTGGGTAATTGCTAATGAGGAAAGCACACAGATGGTCCCCGTCTTAGAAAATGCAATAAATCATTATAACTGTTTGTTGATGTTTGCTCGATTTTTTTATTTCCTCTTAATGAGCGAATAAGACGTTTATTGATGGATGGCATTATGGAGTTTTCATTTGCGAGAAAGATGATACCTATTATTTTTTTTACATTTTGGTAACTTTGGCTGGCTGTCAGTGTAAGGTAGAAACCAGAAAGTCTTTTCTCCATGCAGAGTGAAGTTAATCTGAACTACTTTTTTGGCTATTTTTGGGCCACTGATAAATGCAAGTGAGTTTAAGGCTTTGTTTGTAAACAGGCAAACTATTCTTCCATACAACGCAAAGTATGGACTGACCTTGCAGTGAGTGGTCATTATGTCAAGGGCTGGGTATCGTTCAAAGATTTTCGATATCAATACCGATACCTTGACTTCGATACCGGTTCCCTGAACGATACTTTTTTCGATACCAATTTGATGAAATCCATTTTAACAAGATTACATGACACATTACCTCAAAAAACATTTTGGTTTTATTTTTCAGCTAATTTAAATTTTTTCAGACTCAAAAACTGATCTCCTGAGCCACTGCACAAAGGAACATAAAAAGCACTAAGGAACAAAATATAACCAACACAATAAATCAGTGTTTATCACAATAAATATTATTAAGTTCAAATGAAACACATAGCTTAGACAGAATCAGCATTTCTATTCATTTTCCACTGATTTACTGATGAGCATTAGCTGCTTCCAGCACTGTCTGCCTGCGTTTTCTCTTCCGCGATCGCTGTTAGGACTCAGATGAAGCTCATTCGCTGCTCAACTGTCAATCATATTAGATATTATGCATTTATAACCCACCCTGTCTCCTATGACGAACATCCATTTCACTTCCGCGTTCAGTTCTATACATAAGAAACCCAGGAAAACATTTCCACAGATGAAACATGAAGCTAATAAACACATGATTATGACAGTATATGATTTGTATGTGATTTTCATGAGATTCTGCCTATTTTCTTAACAATACAGGGTGTTTACATGAGAAATGCTAAGCAGGTGTAGCGATTAGCTTGGTATAAAAGGCTACAAATAGCATATTTCAGCAAAATGATATGGCCAAAACACACATTAGACCGCGATCGGAAGTTATTACATACACTCGACGGTGGTTTTGAGTAAAAGCGTAGTATAAATCTTATGTAGCATAATGCTACATTATGCATGAATGGACACACAACACACGTTTTCGGTCGTGTAGTGTGTGGACGGAGATCTTTTCTGAAACGCCAGTATGGACGAGGATCGTTCATTTTAAAACACTGTTTTAAAACGAAAACACACTAGTGTAAATGTAGCCTTACATCTATGGGGGTCTGACGCTTACACACTACAGCCTCACGTGTGAGCCATGTCTCTGGGTGGAACCGGCGTAAACTAGTGTTTTTTCTTGGATTCCTCACCAGAGCCAATCACCAGCACTTGATTTAGGCACATCAAGCTTGCTGACTAACTGAAGTTTACCAGATTAACCCCTTAGATATCGAAATTTGGTACCGAATGACAAGACATTTTTCAATACTCTTATGGTATCGAGGCAATTTGGTCAGTGTCTAAAAAGTCGAAACCCAGCCCTAATTATGATGTAACTCCTCACACTCTCTGTGGGCTCTTTGGCCTCTAAAACATGAGTAAACATGACAAGAGCCTAGGAAATAGGCACCCAAAATCCGTTTTTTATTCCAGGACAGTTCTGTCAGATGTGTGAAGAGATTTTGCTGTTATAGATAACTGGATTTCTTCCAATATTCATTCACGTATATGTACTTGGCTCAACAGCACAAGGGAAGTCTGAAACATGTTCAATTTGTGCTACACCCAAACAGAAGCTCAAAGTACAGGGCTATTTAAAGTCCATGTTTTGTGTTATTATTTGATGGGAGTTTTATAGGGTACATTTTAAGCTGTTGATGGGAGGTCCTGTGTTCTGGGAAATGACCGTCGAGTAACTTGGCACCATGAGAAAGGGATTGTCATAGATAGCATGTGCACACTTATTCGCCCTCCTCCCTGGATCCTCCAGTGAAGGATATGATTATCTTTGCATCAGTAACGTCAAAGGCTTCATTATCTTTGCATTGTTGCCTATCAAAGCGCTTTTTAACTGCTTGATATGAAGTCAAGCACTGTAATTTTAGTGCTAAAATTATTTAAAATGATGATGCATCCATGCCACTGCGTTTCGGTCCAATTTTTCCATCTGTTACATGGCTGGAATAGGGCTGGGCAATGTAGCTAATAAGAAAAGCTTAATATTTATTAACCTTTCAACAATACTTTTTGTTTATGTATGTCTTTGCTCTAAAATACATGCATGTTTGTATAAATGGATACATTTAATAACTAAAACGGTAAAATTCTAGTTAAAAATACTGTTTTCACTAAATGAACACACTGAACTAAATGAAAATATTTAATTGTTATTTTAAAAGAATGAGTATATAATAGTTTAATAAAATAGTGACTAAGTTATTTTACATTATTTGTACCTAGATTTTTACTCATTTAAATGTATCTATCAATATACCAATAAATACGGCAATATTTACTTGGTGTATGTTTTTACTGAAAACATACCCTACTGTTCAAAAGTTTGGATTCTTTTTTTTAATGTTTTTTTTTAATGCTCATCAAGACTGCATTTATTTGATTAAATCTACAGTAAAAACAGTAATATTATGAGATAATATTATTATTTAAAATAACTATTTTCTGTTTTAATACAATTCAAAATGTCATTTAATATTGTGATGGCAAATTAGAATTTTCAGCAGCCATTACTCCAGTCTTCAGTGTCACATGATCCTTCAGAAATCATTCTAATATGCTACATCTTATTGTTATCAATGTTGAAAACAGATGCTGCTCAATATTTTTGTGGAAACTGTGATACTTTTTTTCAGGATTCTTTGATGAATAGAAAGTTAAAAACATGTTTTATATTAAATAGATTTTATGTAGCGACGTAAAAGTATGAATTTCTTTAAAAAAAAAAAACTCACTGTACCCAAACTTATGAACAGTTGTGTATGTGATACAAAGACTAATAAATGTTATTATTTATTAGTTTATTTCTAAATAAAAAATAAACCCTAGTTTCAATATTCAGGGATTTGTACTAAAGCGAACTGTTGCATGTCTGTTTTTCACTGAGCACTAAAACCTCAAGATACCCACAGTCCTCACCAGCTGCCTTCTGCTTATTTAATGAGTCTACCGCAAGTTCGTGCTGTCAGTTAAACATTCTTGTTGCTTGATCGTGGCACACATTTGATACAGGCTGAAAATTAACTGTCTTAATGTTGATTTTTGCAGCTGCTATTCCAGGATTAGCTTAAAGCCCCATTTCTGATTTTCTAGTCTTGGGCATGTTCATGTCTGTACCACACTCTGCTCACAAACAGCTCACCAAACATGAGCCCCGGTGAACCAACCCAGTGCCAGTTTACTGTAACACATGTTTTGAAAATGGATAAACACCGAAAAGTTCATTGTTTCTTTTTAGCTTGTATAGTTTGTACGTTTTTTTGTGAGACAGCTGCACCTGGAGCAAAGGTGAACTTCTCTGTCACGGTTTCCTAACATATGAGAAAGAAAAGAGCAACTGTCAGGCTCTGCCCTCTGACGAAATCCCTAGAACAGCAATAGTGGGAGAATGGGGGGAAAAAATAAAGGAGGAGAGCTGGAGAAACAACAGTAGTTGGAGAGAGAATAAAGCTGATAAAAGGTTCTCTTTGTTCCCTGGTTCTTGTCGACACAGTGCTCTAGTCAGTCCATACTGAGAGGCTCACCAGGGACCCAGAACAGAGCGGAGGAGTTGAAACGCTACGTAGTTTCTCTCTCTCTTTCTCACACACACTTGTGCTGGGGTTCCCAGTTGTGTAATACATGTATGACAGCTTCCAACCAAGCTACATTGTAGTAATACAAGAGCTCTGGCTTGTTTATACATGTGTCCACAGATCTCGCAGTGTGAGAGATTCTGTGATTTCACTTTTTCTTCTGCAATTGGAGTCCTGAGCCCCACCCATATACAGTCTCTTTCATTCTGCTCTCATTCATCCATTTATAATTTGAGATTGAGAGCTTGGGACTGTGAGAAATGGACATGTTAGCAGGAGGAACGGAAATTGGCACAATCTGTAGGCAAGAATAATGGTTTTGTCATGGTGTCCATTAACACTTGATTAATAATGAAGCACTGTATCTCTCTTGCAGTGATCGACAGCTTCCATCACATGTTTGACAGCAGCTAGGCTGCTCCGAGAGAGTGAAATTCACAGCTGAATGAGACATTCTTCCCTCTGGGGATATGACCAAAGTGTAATATCACAGTGTGAGTAATTGTATATCATGACAGGGCCGTTGCTTAAGTTCACAAGCCCAGGACAAAATGTTTATGGGTTGGCATCCATTCTACCTCTGAGTCTATTGCCTGTCCCTGCATCCCTCTTGTTACTTATGAAGAATATGGGAAATAAATGTTTAAAGTATGTTTGTCTTTGGAGAACAGAATAAGATGTTGATTGTGGATGCATCCTGAAGAATATGCAATGAGTCGTCTATAATGTCCTGTCAGTAAGCAGAAGATTGATTTATACAGAGTAGATTAGGCCTGTCACATCTGCTCCTAAACTGCATTGCGAATGATGGCCTGCTCTGGAATCCTCTCTCATCTCCCTCAGGCTGCTCACACTAGTGACAGTGGTACCAGTCTGTGTATGAAGCTCTGCTGTTAGACCTCTGCAGCTGTTCTCCCTTCATCTGGGATTCTGAAATCTGATCTGAAATTGAGGGGTTGAAGGAGCAGGACACAGACCAGCTGTTTCTGTCATATCCAGACTCCTCGACACCTTTGCCCATAATTACTTCAGACTGAAGGCCCTGGTTGTGACTGTAGTATCATGTGCTTATTTTTGGCTTCACGTATTGGTGATGGAAACAATTAATTTGGGTATTTGTACCAAAATGTATATATTTGACATGAGTTTGACCTATTTGCTTACTTAATGTCTGTATTATTGTGCAAGGATGATCAGTGTGATACGGGATGATAGTCTCAAGAAAAAAGTTTTTATAATCTTTCAAAATGTGTTTTTGATTTAACTGAGCTTGCATGGTTTCATTAACAAAAAGTATCATCATGATCCAGTCAAATCCATATAGATATAATTTTTTCCCATTGAATTTGTTTTGTTAAAATAAATGCATTTATGGAACTATAATGTTTAATGTTGTCTTTTAATTGCTAATTGCTTTAATTTCTAAAAAAATATTTTGCAACTTAAATTACTAGTAAAAGTACAGTGAGGTCACAATATTGAGTAGATATAAATAATTGTTTTATTTATTTATTTTAAATAAACTCAAATAATCCTAAAAAAGTATCACAGGTTCCAAAAAAATATTAAGCAGAACAACTGTTTCCAACATTGACAATAAATCAGCATACTAGAATGATTTCTGAAGGATCATGTGACACTGAAGACTGGAATAATGGCTGATGAAAATTCAGATTTGCCATTACAGGAATTAATTGTATTTTAAAGTATATTAAAATATAAAACCAGTATTTGAAATGGTAATAACATTTGCCAATATAACAGTTTTTTTCTGTATTTCTGGTGAAATAAATGCAGTCATGATGAACAGAAGAGACTTCTTTAAAACACATAAAAATTCTCACTGATCCCAAACTTTTGAACAGCATTGTATATCCATAGCATTCTCATTCTGGGCTGCTGGCAGGGCAGCCTGCCCTCTTCAGCCCATGTCAGCACTAATGATGGATCCCCACCTGGCTTTCTTCACAATTGGCATTGCAGATGGTCCTTGGGGCCCAGACGTGCTAGTTAATTTAGTTCGCTGGCACATTTTAGTGAATGTTGATTATGCACCTCCTCAACCGTCATTTGCAAGAATTCTTTACTTTTTAAGTCCACTTATGTATCTAGTGAGTTCCGTCAGTTATTATTTATTAATTTATTTTATATTAATTATATATATATATATATATATATATATATATATATATATATATATATATATATATATAAATTTATTATAACTTCAGAGTTACCAATTTATTCCAGATGATTAGCTCCCTAAAAATATCATCGCATGTAAACACTGAGGCTGGTTTCCAGGGCACAGATTACATATAATCTCCACCTTGAAGGTTGTTATGTGGACAATCTCACAAATTGTACTGTATTTCAGAGCAATATATGGCTAACTGCTGTGAAATCACTCCTCTGTCCAATGTTGACTTGTTTAATCTTTGAAATTAAAAATATATTCGACATGGCATCCTGTACATATACTAACTTTCAGTAAGCAACCATTTCATGATCTATTGCTTATTATTGACTAATTACAAAGGTAAAAGATAGTTCATTGCGAAGCTCATCATAAAACAACTCGCACTGTATGTGTTTTTGTAATTAAGTAATGCATGTAGCCAGTGATACTTTATCCTCCATGTTAAGATGCACTAAAGTCCTCTAATGCAGCAGATGATATCATCGATTACAACTGACTGACAAGGATTAACTCCGCTCAGCCTTTCACAGTCGTTTTTTTTGGATTATATGTTTCATAATGGCATGGGTGTAAAGTCACAGTGCATCACATTAAAATGAGATCATGGACTCCTGAATTATTTCTGCGCAGTGGATTTGCAGAGTATCATCTCTCAAGCTTTTTAATGACATTAAAGCTTCAGTTTGTAGAAATGCTTTTCATGGTTGTCCCCTCTTGCTTGCCTACAGTTGTGTCATTTGGGGAGATTCATACTCAAAGCTCAGTCAGTTGGAAAGTCAAAGAGGAACTGATTTTGGACTAGTTGATTTGATCTCAGTTGCAGTACAAAGATGGGTCGTATATTATATAATAATATAATCAAGTGTGGATGAAATTAGGGGTGCTCCGATTGATCGTCTACCGATCATTATCGGCCAATAATCGCTTTGGGATGTTTGATCGACGGTCTCTAAAAAGGCCAATCTCAAAAAAACGATCTCAAGCTGATGCCGTCAGACGTCTCTGTCCGGCACAGGTGAAATAATTGTAATGCTGAAGGTGAGGTACAGTACATATTTCTTCATTAAATAACTTATAAAGTAGCTAATTTGAAAACTTTCTGTGAGACAATTTCACAAACAGGGTGAGTAAATCACTGTGCGTGCTCTCTCTTTCTCTCAAAATGCACAAATGGCTTCAAATCAAATCGCGTCTGCACTATAAGCGAGCTGCACTCTGCACAGCTGACACAGGAATTTTCACTTGCACAATCGAGGCAGTGTCACATCGTCACTAAAGTTTATAAATTGCTTTTCTTTTTAATTCTTGCCAGTGTTTAAACCATTCAGCGCTCGCACGCTCTCCTGGAGACCGAGCGCTCATGCACACTCGCAGCGCACTGTAGCGTCTGGACCAATCAAAAACACAATTTTTCATTTGATTGAACAAATCAGTTATTCATTAGATTAACAAATCGTCACAGACCCCTCACCCAATAAACTGGGCGCCAGGATGTCTACGAACAACACCAGGCACCCCCTGCTCCCCATGGCAACTAATGCTGATATCACTGGTTTTATGGCCCCAAAGGAATGTGAGTAGCGAAAATCACTACCTCTCTGTAGGAAGAGACACAATGCACAGTAGTGCGCGCGCGCGCGTGTGCGCGTGTGTGCGTGTGTGTGTGTTTATGTGCATGTAAGACTAGTTTAAGTGTTTATGTAGTATGCTGGACTAGTTTAAGTGTTTATGTAGTTAATAAAGTCTTACTTGTATCACACTTGACGTTGTTCATTGTTTGCTCATAACTGGAGTCCCTAATCATGCAGATTTATGCTACAGGCTCTGTGTAGAGTTGTACAGTAAGAAAGTTATTTCCCTTAACCAGGAAATTAACATTCTTAGAATTGACAGACAGTTGACCCTGAGAGGTCAAGTAAATATCTACAGCGGATCTAAATATTTATAATTAATTATAACTAGTTATGATTAATTATTCATATTTCCCCATGAGCTGATTCGCTACAGCACACACATAATACCAGGTTCACATTACTCCGTTTGCAGTACGTATGCGGTGCGTATTTTTTCTGCTCTCATGTTAACGGATTAAAGCGTTCACACTGCACCCGGCATGTGCGTTCCAGTAGCGGTGCGTCTGCAGCAGTGCAGTGATCGTTTCCGCACCGAGTCTATTTTTGCTGCGCTGCAAGCGCTGAATTAAAGTAACAGTGCTTTGTTTGCGGTAAATATGAACATGAATTGACACGAAAATATAGTAATTACACCATAAATGCATATAATTAAAGTTTACTGTGTTTCACAGTCAACATAGGCTATGGCTTTTTGGCTAGGTTTAAAGAAAAAGAGCACTTTTAGATAAACAAGGCAATAATAGATAGCACTCTTGGAGGTAGGAAAACAAAGTTTTTTGTGAACCGCAGGATTGCTTGTAATAAAGAATTAAATGCAAAAAAAGGCAGTAGTGCTGACTGTTTCTGTCAATGGTAAGTTTTAATTTAGAATGTTTAATGTAAGAAAAGTAGTTTAAATGTTTTGTCACTTGTTTGAGCAACTTAATATATCAATCTAGAAGTAAAAAGCATTGAATAATGCTATGAAAGATTGTATTAGCTATGCACTGTGCACTGTGTAAAAAAAGAATCTCAACGCTGAAAAAGCATTTTCAGTGACAATGTTTGGATTTGAAATCAAAATAATGGATAAATGTGGTGTTTGTAGTAAACAGCCACGGATCAATTGCAGACTCCTGTGTGAAAGCACAGTGAGCACCTGCTGCTTTTGCACCGCTACCACACATGGACTGCATGCGCACTGCAAACGGAGTATGTGTGAACCTGGTGTAAAAGGCCGCCTCACATACAGCTCACAAAATCAGGCTTGCGCTGTGTGTAAGCTATTGTACAACAATTGCACGATTGTAAAAACAAAAATGCAGTGCATGATCAAACATTTAGGTGAGATAAATATATATTTTATATGATAAAATATAAATGTCTAAAAAATGCCCCCCCCCCTCCACACCCCAAATTAAAAA